CTGGAGACCATTCTAACTGAAAGAGAAAATGTTGCATTTGTCATCAGAACAGGAGGGGAAAGTAAATCTCCCAAAGGGAATAACTGCCTGTCAGGTGACAACTGCCTAACAGGGGAATTGTTCTATGTTCACAGCAGAAAATGAAAGGAAATCTCACCAAAAGGGCATAGATAGAAAAAAAATAAAACAAAATAATATATCCAAAATGAACGTAAAAGGTTTGGGGTATACAGTACATAAACTTAAAATGCTGATGTAATGTTTGCATCTAAAGCTCCTATTGTTTTTATAGTTGAGTCATCTCATACTAGCCACATTAGGACCTTGGGTTAATTCTTTCTCCTTCTGAATATCTCCAATTCACCTTGTAAACAGGTGCAGTCTGATTTCTCAACTGCAAGTGGTGCTGGACCTCAGTGGCAAGGCAGAGGGGAGATGAAGTCAAGGGAAACTGGTTTTAACTTTGACTACATCGGTCACACAGGGCAGAGATCCAGATGGATGCTCTTACCCCATGTGTTCCTGGAGGCCATCTTAGGTCAAGCTGAGTCTATTTAAGACTCTGACCCTGGGGTTTGGCGTGCTTTATGTGAGTGGCTAATGTAGGGACAGGGTCACAGGGGATGGCACTAGCAATAGGGAAAGATTCCAGAGAAGTAGGAAAAGGGCAGGGACTACATCTACCTTCACAGGAAACGTTCCCTGCATATTGCCAAGCCACACTCCACTCCTCATGGCAGATTATATCGGCAGCTCTGAGTCTACATACTGCAGTCTCTACACTGCACTGTTGTAAGTGTTCCCAGTCAGGTGAGCTTTCCCACCAGGCCTGTTTGTACTGCTGAACTATTGTTACAATACATTGTTTTTGGCAAATCAGGACTCTGTGTGCTGACTGTCCACCAAACCACGCTGCACCTACCCAACAATTTCCCAGTAAAGAGGAAAGAAGGAGGAACCCATCTCTAGTTCAAACAAAAAGGGGGAAGGGGGGTTCGCCGCATTTAGCGTTTTGTTGCCAAAACATACCTCTCCTGAATGTGATTCTTCTGCATTCAGGAGAAGGGACGTTTAGCTGGCCCTAAACTCCTGCTGCTGTTGCACATGGACACATAGGCTTTTACTGAGTTGCGTTCAGGAGCTTTGGCAAAAAAAAACACCAAAAGCTCTTGAACTCATGTTTATGTGCAGCATGAGGCCTTAGAAGCTCATATTTTGTATATAAACTAATTATATTTGAGCACAGACATTTCCTTCATTCTATTGGATAATGTAGGTCAGTGACCAGACCTGGGTCTGTAGCTCTCCTTCAGCTGAGTCTGTCTAGCCCCATATTGATACTATATATATTTTATTAAAGTATGCAATTTTGCACAGTAGAATAGGTGCTGGCTAGAGGGGGATCCTTTTGATGCCGCTGGCCAGCTTGAACCTGTATTGCCATATATGAGAACCAAGAATCCCTATTTCTGTTCAATGGTTTTCAAGAAAGTACTGTATCGAAGTGTGCAGAGGGTGCATTCTGAATCTTTAACCTAACATGCCAGATGCAAAGGGGCAACATAATCAAGACTTAGACAAGTTTAATTGGTGACCAACATACCTCATTGTAAAGAAATGTGTTTAGTAAATGAGGCACACACTCAATGTGTGATGTATTGCCATGTCTTGTAATGTGTGACAGTAGTTATTATCAGTCTTTAGTAAGAACACACAATGGTGTCGTACACAACAAACAATGTATAAATTGGTGTGATTTCACCAAATGCAGAAATGACTTTGTTCAAGAGAGACTTTGCACAGAGCTTTTGCCAAATTACTATAGATATAACTAGAAAAAATAATAATAATAAAAGAAATGAATGAACAATTTCATGTTATTACTAAACACACACCAGTGTTTCAAGTAGACCAACCTTACCTCTGGATCATCCCAGACACTTGGACATCTGTTAATGGTATATATACTCAAAAGGATAATGGAATCTGTCAGATAAAACAAGAAAAAAAAGACGTAAATTGTAAATCGCATTTGTGGGAGGGTAAATTAGTATGATTAGAGATTAGTTTTTCAAGGGTTCTTTTTAAACGTTAATGATTCAGGTTCACTTACAATACAATTTACCTTGAATCTAAAGTAAGTCTGGCACTACAGAGCCAAAAGAGAAATAACCCCTATGTTAGCAATCCTCTTGCCTTGAAATGTTGGCAGACTGGTATGGATGTACAGAATATATCTGCATGCCATGCCATGAGCTCAGGTTTGGTTTGTACTTGGGTTCAGACCGAACTTGTAAGGAATTTGTCAGTCCCATCCACTAACGCCCAATCAACTGCGACCAGGGCATTCCCCACCCCACAGCTGCGTGTACAGAAAGGGGTGGGGATGCTTGTGACATCACTGATCTAATATGGCCATTTTAGGTAAATTACATTGGTAAGCCATATTAGATTAATGATGTCACGAGCATCCCCGTGTATATGTGCAGCTGTGGACAGAGAATGCCTGGACCCTAATACATATGAAGTCTCTCCACCTCTGTGCGGCAGGGGAGTATTTATCACAAGGCAAACAAGGCATTTGCCTAGGGCAGCATTTTTAGGGGGGCAGCACTGAAGGGACATGTGCGGCATGGGGACCAGGTGGGATCCGAGAGGGGCTGCTTGATGGTGTATGCAGAGCCCGACTGTCGTTCCTGGGGATGTCCAGAGCTGTGAAGGTGAGTGTCTTTTTATGGGGATGGGGCAGGTTGTTGGTCACTGTCACGCTCTCTCAGTGGGGGGGGGGGTCTGGTGTTGGTCGGTGCCATACTCTCTTCGCCGGGGAGGGGGGGGACGTCCGATTTCTGTGTTGCCTAGGGCAGCACAAAATCTAAATACACCACTGCTGTGTGGTACTATGACTGATACCGACAAACCATTGGCCATTATCTGACATCATTGTGCTCAGCATTCTTGCTGCTTCTGTAGGTGTAGTATCATAGGTGTAAGTGTCAAAATCTTTTTCACTTGGCTTTACCCTGACTCTTTCTTCTATCTTTCTTGATTTTGATTTCTTCTCAGCTTCCCTCCTCTCTTACCACTTCATAAGACAGGTGTCCTAGTTTCTGCACACATTTTGACATTGTTTGATGTATTTGACCATTGGCCAAGCACATACAGTGCCATTTCTCTAGAGCTCAGGTACATTTTTGGCTGACCTGTACCTTACAACTGTCCCAGATTCCATGGGACCTTCCCAGGATTTCAACAAAATCCTGGCATCCCTCAGATCCAGGCTAGAGTCCTGGAGCCTGTGGCTGGAATCATTCAGCCACTTCCAGCCGCAATGTATTTCAGTCTGCCTTAGATTTTGGCAGGCTACAGGCAGAGGAGCTGGATGCCCTTGTGCCTCCCAGAAGCAATAAAATGCTGGAATTGCATGCACAGCAGCTATACAACCCATATTCAAGGGTAGGTTAGGTTAGGCTGTATTTACAGTTTTACATCCAAATTGAATGATACCTACTTTATATTTGTTACATGTTTCTGTTTTCGTAGCATAAAAATGATGTTTATCTTTTTAAGTGATTTTTACCAATGTCCTAGCAGCAAGCCAGGACAGGGTGATGCCACCTTTTAGAGTTTTTCAGTCAGGCTTCCAGAGGTATGTAAAAAAACCTACTAGGCCTGGTAATGGTGAACTGACCCTTTAAGGTTATTAGGAGAAAGTAATGGAGTGTACCACCTATGATTAATAATACAAAATGAAAACTCCTGTGAGAAGTACTGTCACCATGTTAGTGGCAGTTAGCTGAAATGATATGGGTGCCGTAGTGACAAATAACAATAGAACAATTTGGTGTGTTCACTGGCATGATGAAGACATAACATTGTGGCAACCACATTCTTGGAGTGCAACATGGGTAAAAAAGCTTATTCATGTGCTGAGACCCTAATTATGTTCTCAGAGGAATATGACAAATTGCTATAAGTGCAGTTTCAGAAAAATATACATTCAAAAATGAAATAGTAGGAAGGTTTTAAAGACACAGAACATACAATCTCAGTAACTGAAGCATTTGTGATGACTGACCTTTAGAAAGGGTTCGCCCATCAGGGAAGGTGACAGGCGAGGCAAGCTGACGTGCCACTCCTGGCACTGGTGGATACAGGCGCATGCTCTCCTTAATACACATGGTGGTGTATGGCATCTTAGCCAGATCTTCCCTGATCACACACAAAAGTGAAATACATTAAAAGTTTAAAGCCCAACTCTCAGCATTTTTTAAAATATTCTCCTAGCAGGGGTTTAATATTAAAAACGTGAAGAATTTGGAAAGAAATTATACAAATAAAACAAAACTGATATTAATGTTCAGCATGGCCAATAGTGGGTTGAACCATCAACAAAATCCTTATATCTGGAATTTTAAGAAAATTGGGAACCAATGGGTATTGGAATTTCCAAACATTCACACAGAACTGCTATTTAAAGCCTAACATCATCTTTTGCACCATATTACACGTTGCACCCATATTTAGGGTGTAATATGTAACAAGATGCAAATCAGACCCTCCACCCCAGCCCTAAACAGTTCCCCCTCTGTGACAGTGTATGGGTTTCTTCTCCTGCTGTCACCTTTAAATTTGAGAGATCTGTGAATGATCCAACTACATGTCCCTTCTGCCACTGTGGCAGACTGATTTGTATTTCTCAATGGAATACAAGTATGGTAATCATCACATTCTTAGTCGATTGACACTTCCTACAGATATGTAACTGAAAGTCCATACCTATGTATTGACAGGGAACTGGAAGGAGAGTCTGCAGGGGTGTTGCATTACACCCGTAATCCACTGATCGTGGGGTGCAATACTTTGCAGTCTCCTATGGAGGAACAATAATAAAAGCACACTTTTTTTTCCCTACAAATATATGTGCATTTATTATTTTTTCTAAAAGGTGGACTTTAGCAAGTCATCGTATTATACTGGACATTGATATAACATGTTCTCACCATTCCAAAGTGTTCCGACCTCCCAGCAGCTCTCTAATCTCCTCCCGGCATTTGTCCTGGTGTTCAGGGTGTGTAGCCATAGAGTATAATGTCCAGGAGATCCCGCTGGCCGTTGTATCATGTCCCTCAAACATAAATGTGTGCACCTCAGCACGCAAGTCTTCATCAGAGAGAGCTTGACCATTTTCATCCTGATGGTTTAAAATATAATATATATATATATATATATAGAGAGAGAGAGAGAGAGAGAGAGAGTCAAGTCAAAAGCCCAAGTTAGGATCCAACCAGGAGTGACTGATATGCCATATTTGGAGTAGACTAGGTCAGCAAAGACATCTATATTTCTGCCCTCGAAGGTTGGCTTTTCAATTTTGAATTCAGAAGGAATTCTTAATGTAAATTTTTAATGCAGTTGTATGGTAAAGCCAAACAGATCCTTTATTAAAGGTGCCATTTTATTCACAAAGCACCATATGTGTAAATGTGTCTATCTCTTTAAGCCTATAATGCCCAACTCCAGCCCAATTGTTTTGTTTTTGGATAGTGTAGAAAGTTTTGCCAGGTTTTAAATACTATCAGTGATAACATTAACACTGAGCCATTACAGGAATTTAGGGTAATGGGCAGCACAGTGGCTTAACTGTGGGAGACTGCCAATAGTGATTTTCCTGTGAAAATGCTAGTCATCTGGTTGTTATGCTGATCTCTGGCTTCAATATATCCTGAGACATTGACCTAGAACAAGAATGCAGATCAGCAAAATCAGATGCACTTATTTGCATGCTTGTTCCAAGTCAACTCAAAGGCTTGAAGCAAGTGGGTCAGCATTATAGCCAGGAAAACCGTATTTGCAAAATGACAAGTCAACAGTGGTAGCCCACATTTCTCTTAGGAAATGTTTCCTTGGAAAGAGATCTATTTTGGTAATCTACTAAGATTTTATATATGTATCCATTGGTATTAATAAAAATCTTTGTTGTAAGAACCATTTGAAGAAAAATTAGGGCATCTATGTCAGGTGGTCCTTTCAGCCTGGATTTGGTACCTTGGCATACAGAAGAATATCGAGAAAGTCTAAGTGCCTCTTCTGTTTGATCTTCTCCAACTCAGTGCCCTGTTTAAGAGATTCTTTTCGCTGCTTGATCACATTATCTGTATTGGAAAGAATGTGCTGTGTCAACCAAAAAAAAATGCCATGATATTATTTATAATATGTTGTTACTGTCACCTTAGTAGATTCTGAAATCTGAACATATCATATCAATACAGCAAGAAAGCTGAATTCAGAAGGAGTTATTAGTGTAGACGTTTAAATGGAGCTATAAATTACTCAAGTCCACGTCCATATTTAGATGCAGCATCACCTATATGAGGTGGTATCAAAAAGTTTTTTAAGACTAGTTTTTTAACATTCCAACAGATGGCAGCACAAGGCTCACGCACAATCACAGGGAGCACAGACCTTAATAAGTTAGAGTGCCAAAAGACATTGTCCTGTGTACGCTATTTTGACCACGTGTGTTACTATGTCTACTATTTAATCATGGACAGCAAGTTAGAACAGAGCGTAAACGTTAAGTTCTACATGAAACCCGTACACCCAAGTTCCATCCTTGACATGAAGGACGGGACATCCACGGTACACTGATTCAGTTTTTGGCAGACTTCGACATGGTGTTCCTTCTGCTCCTGGGTCAGCAGCCTGGGGATGAACTTGGCAGCAACTTGGCGCATGTTCAAATCACACGTGAGGATTGCCTGGACTGTTCCATATGACACACTGACAATGGCAGCAATGTTGTGGCTTGTTCTCCGATGATCATCATGCACAAGTTGCCAAATGGTTTCTACATTTTTTTGGGTTGAACTTGTTGAAGGTCTTCCTGATCTCTCATCATCTTCCAGTGATGTTCTTCTGCTCTTGAAGCCCGGATGCCACTCAAAACACCTCAAATGACTTATTGTCAAACATTTCTGTGATAGATTTGCCCAGTTTCATGCTGAATTTCACTTTGTTCTTTGTTCTAACTTGCTGTCCATGATGAAATAGCAGACGTGGTAATGCCCGTGGTCAGAATAGCACCAATTGCACAGCTCCCGATGGACCTAGGACAATGTCTTTTGGCACACTGACTTATGAAGGTTGGTGCTCCCTATGACTGTGCATGCAGCCTTGTGCTGCCATCTGTTGGCATGTTACAAAACTTAAAACGTTTTGATACCACCTCATACAAGTTCCACGCTCCAAAACCTGCACTGTTTAAAAGCAGTAGGCAGTAGCAGCTTCTATATTTCAGTCCTCAAAGGCTGACTTTAAATTCTTTACACAGCAAAAGTTGAATAACGCTGGTGGTGGATGGTGCTCCTTTAGCTGCACAGATTGCACTTCACTAAAGACTTCACTGTTTTCGCGTAAGAATATATCACAAATAGTGGGACTGTACTGTATACTGTATATGCGTTAGTCATGATATTGATTATTTTTGTACATATTGCTTGAAAAAGAAATATGATTATGTTGTATATTTTATTTTGTTTTGTTGGTTTCATGATGGTTAGCACTGTTTTTGCTTTCATACTTATATACAGGTGAAACTCGAAAAATTGAATATCGTGCAATAGTTCATTTATTTCAGTAATGCAACTTAAAAGGTGAAACTAATATATGAGATAGACTCATTACATACAAAGCAAGATAGTTCAAGCCGTGATTTGTCATAATTGTGATGATTATGGCTTACAGCTCATGAAAACCCCAAATCCACAATCTCAGAAAAATTAGAATATTACATGCAATCAATAAAACAAGGATTGTACATAGAACAATATCGGACCTCTGAAAAGTATAAGCATGCATATGTACTCAGTACTTGATTTGGGCCCCTTTTGCAGCAATTACTACCTCAATGTGGCGTGGCATGGAAGCTATCAGCCTGTGGCACTGCTGAGGTCTTATGTAAGACCAGGATGCTTTAATAGTGGCCTTCAGCTCTTCTGCATTGTTCGGTCTCATGTCTCTCATCTTTCTCTTGGCAATGCCCCATAGATTCTCTATGGGGTTCAGGTCAGGCAAGTTTGCTGGCCAATCAAGCACAGTAATCCCACGGTCATTGAACCAGGTTTTGGTGCTTTTGGCAGTGTGGGCAGCTGCCAAGTCCTGCTGGAAAATGAAGTCAGCATCCCCATAAAGCTCCTCTGTGGAAGGAAGCATGAAGTGCTCCAAAATCTCCTGGTAGACGGCTGTGTTGACCCTGGACTTAATGAAGCACAGTGGACCAACACCAGCAGATGACATGGCTCCCCAAATCAACACAGACTGTGGAAACTTCATACTGGACTTCAAGCATCTTGCAGTGTGTGCCTCTCCATTCTTCCTCCGTACTCTGGGTCCTTGGTTTCCAAATGAGATGCAAAAGTTGCTCTCATCAGTAAAGAGGACTTTAGACCACAGAGGAACAGACCAGGTCTGTTTTTCTTTAGCCCAGGTAAGACGCTTTCTGATGTTGTTTGTTGTTCAGGAGCGGCTTGACAAGAGGAATACGACATTTGAGGCCCATGTCCAGGATCCGTCTGTGTGTGGTGGCTCTTGATACACTGACTCCAGCCTCAGTCCACTCCTTGTGAAAGTTCCCAACACTTTTGAATGGCCTTTTCCTGACAATCCTCTCCAGGCTGTGGTCATCCCTGCTGCTTGTGCACCTTTTTCTTCCACACTTTTCCCTTCCACATAACTTTCTATTAATGTGCTTTGATACAGCACTTTGGGAACATCCAACTTCTTTCGCAATTACCTTTTGAGGCTTTCTCTCCTTATGGAGGGGGTGTCAATGATGGTTTTCTGCACAACTATCAGGTCAGCAGTCTTTCCCATGATTGTGATTCCTACTGAACCAGACTGAGAGACCATTTAAAGCAGCGGTTGGCTTAAACCTGGGGGTCGCGACCCTTGAGCCAAGGGGGCACCTTTTCGAATATTCTAATTTTCTGACCATTGTTTCCCAGGGGTCGCCTGAAATAAATTAACTAATTCATGATATTTTAAAAATTTTTCGAGTTTCACCATATATATGTTTCACCTTTTGTTGACTGATTTTGATGTAAACAAGAATGCAGGTTATTACCCCAAGGAGACAGTTCTTATACTGGCTTTCTGTCAAAGAAAACAATAGCACTTGTTCAGAAAAATCTGTCTATTACACTGTCCCATAATGGGCCAGCCCTGGGATTCCACTGCTGATCTCCTACTGCCTTCCTGTCATGTTGATCCTCAAACTTTCGGAGTCATCGATTAGTACACAGATTAGGAGTTCTACATACCTATTGCAGGTCAATGACTGATAGAGTATTGAAGCCAGAAGCACAGAAGCAGACGAACAAATACCCTTAACTGACACTTACCTGTGTGTTCATGAGCTGTTCTTAGTGCCCTCCGGAAGCGATATCCATGGGGGCTCAGGTTGAAGATGAGATCATTATGATAAGGGAAACAACGAGCTCGGTAATCCACCAGATAGGACAGCTCATAGACGGCCTTGATATATTCACTCTCACTGTAAGGGCACAAAATGGTAGACCAGTCTATGTCATGTAATAATTTCTTTCCTACATCACATGCCCCATAGCAATAAGCTAAGAAAAGTCAAAAATATTGTAATACATTTTAGAAGATACTGACCTGTCATTCTGGCAGTTGCTTTGGTAACTGAAGGCACATTTCATGATGGTGTCCAACGTCATGAGGCTGACATGATGGAACAGCTCTACGGATTTCTCATCTGAAACCAGATGTTCCCACTTGTCCTAATGAAGGTCAAACATGAAAAAAAATATATTACTGCAATTATTCATTAAAGACTATACATATATATTTACATTTTTTGGACAGCGTACGTAAAGTAAACTATTTGATACTAATATTATTTTTTTTTGTCTAGCTCTGACAGCAAGTGACACAACAATAAAACCTCAACATAGGCTCTAACCCTTCCCTGATCCAAGTTGGGCCTTACACAGATAGGCAAGACAGTCAGAGCAAGTTAACATATGATTGAATATTAATGGGCAGTTTCTGTTACACCAGTTGTGTGAAAATGGTGTGTGGGGTATATGCAGTGTGGTGTGGAGGCAATAATGACACTGAGGGCCAGGATGCAGAAACCAATATGTTAAAGAACTTGCAGAATAGTACAACAGCCCGATAAGGTGGAACTCCCTTCCGGGAACTCACAGTCAATGCAGCGGCAAGCCAGCAGTGGTAGGCCCCAACTAAGCACTTGTCAAGGGTGGTGAAGTGCAGCCTGGTTGGTCCAACCTAAGAGGAGGCTTACAGAAGTGTAGACATAAGCCCTACTCTTTCCCTACACCTTTGGAACCTTTCCCTACTGCTGTCCTTGACAGATGGGTGAGCTCTCCCTACACTAGCCACTTCACAAAAGTGCTCCAAAGCCTGGGATCAGGGGCTTAAAAAGACTCTGAATGACCCAAGATGGCCTCCAGGGTCACCTGGTTTCACAGGTTTCCAATGACTTTGTCTTCAGCTGCAGTACAGCTCAGGTTTAGTGCCACCTACAGTGGAGGAAACAGGCTGCACCTGCCTACAGGTGGGTAACTCCTTACTTCTCCACCCTTTACTCACTGTATCCTAACACTGATTCCTCCTTACCAGCATCACATTAGCGCAGTCTGACATCACTCTCACATATGGCTTCAGAACATCATAATGGAAACCCGGGGTTAGCAGCTTGCGGTGCTGGTGCCACTTTGCACCAGATAATACCAATAACCCTTTCCCTGCATAAAAAATTATAGTAAAGGGATCAGAGCAAAATATGTATAACAACCAGAGATACATGAGGTACATGATCAGTGCACATAAAACTGAAATTTCAGACTCAACTGAGATAAATAATTAATTGGCTCCTTAGATGTCTAAATGTGGTTATAGCAAAATCTCCTTGATGATACAGAGTGTCATAAGGTCTAGAACCATAGGCAAAAATGTATTTAAATGTTTTATTAGAATAAATGCTTAGATTGATAGCCATAACCTTTCTGACACTTGTGTACATGCTAAATACATGAATGTTGAACATTTCGTAACATAGCAGAAGTGACGTTGTTACATGTAGAGATGATTTCATCTTTTAGAACAGTTCACAACAATATGCCACACATGTTTCTGTGCCATCGCAATGCACTTTGTAGGGAAGGAAATTCTGATTCCAGACCTCTGGAACACCCACCGCCCTGTATATATACATATATATATATATATATATATATATATATATATATAGTGCATTCAGAAAGTATTCCGACCCCCTTTACTTTTTTCAATTTTGTTATAGGGCATCCTGATACTACAATTGTTTAAATTCATTTGTTTCCCTCCTTAATCTATACTCAGTACCCCATGATGACAAAATGAAAACAGAATTTTAGAACAGTTTACAAATTTATAAAAAAAAATTAAAAACTGAAATATCACATTGGTATAAGAATTCGGACCCTTTGCAACAACACTTGAAATTTAGCTCAGGTGCCTCTCATTTCTCTTGATCTTTGCTGGGATGTTTCTACATCTTGACTGGAGTCCACCTGGGGTAATTAAAATGACTGGACATGATTTGGAAAAGCAGATGCTTCTCTATAAAAGGCCTCACAGCTAACAATGCATACTGCATCAGAGGAAAAGCCATGAGGTCAAAGGAACTACCTGCAGAGCTAAGAGACAGGATTATTGCAGGACACAGATCTGGAGAAGGCTACAAAAAATTTTACCCCAGGTCCCCAAGAGCACAGTGGCCTCCATAATTCTCAAATGGAAGAAGTTTGGCACAATCAGGACTCTTCCAAGAGCTGGTCGTCCAGTCAAACTGAGCAATCAAGGGAGAAGGGCACTAGTAAGAGAGGTGACCAAGAACCAGATGGTCACTCTGACTGAGCTCCAGAGATTCTGTGTAGAGATGGGATAAAGTTTCAGAAGAACAACCATCACTTCAACCCTCCACTGATCTGGGTTTTATGTCAGAGTGGCTGGACGGAAGATGTGCAAAACATATGAAAGCTCACTTGGAGTTTGCAAAAAAGTACCTGAATGACTCTCAGACTGTGAGGAACAATATTCTCTGGTCTGGTGAAACCACGATTCAACTATTTGGCCTCAATGCTTAATGTTATATCAGGAGGAAACCAGGCACCACCTATCACCTGCCCAATACCATCCCCACAGTGAAGCATGGTGGTGGCAGCATCATGCTGTGGGGGTGTTTTTCAGCAGCAGGGACTGGGAGGTTGGTCAGGGTTGAGGGAATGCTGAATGGAGCAAAGTACAGTGATATCCTCAATAAAAAACTGTTCCACAGTGATCCTAAGCACACAGCCAAGACAACACAGGAGTTGTTTAGGGACAACTCTGTGAATGTCCTAAAGTGGCCCAGCCAAAGCTCTTACTTGAACTCTATTGAACATCTCTGGAGAGAGGTTAAAATGGCTGTCCGCAGATGGTCCCCATCCAACCTGACTCGAGAGGATTTGCAACGAAGAATGGCAGAAAATCCCCCAATCCAGGTGTACAAAGCTTGTTGCATCATACCCAAAAATGATTTGAGGCTGTAATTTCTGTCAAAGGTGCTTCAACAAAGTACTGAGTAAAGAGTCTGAATATTTACATGTGATATTCCAGTTTTTTTAAATAAATTCACAGACATTTCTAAAATTCTGTTTTCACTTTGTCATTGTGGGGTACCATGGTGTTAGATTAATGAGAAAAAAAAGAAGTCTGAATACTTTATGAATGCACTGTATATATATGTATATATATATATATACAGTTGTGTTCAAAATAATAGTAGTCAGACATCACTAATCTGATCAATCACTGTTTTTGGTAGAAATTATATTTCTACATGGCAAATAATGTACTAGCAGGTGTAGTAGAGTAATAGAAATCCAACAGACCCAACAGTCATGACATGTGTGCTGCTGATTCTGAGTTCTATTAGTGAGGTCATTCATTCTTTGAAAAACAGGTGGCAATTATTGACCTTATTTAAGGAAGGAAGGCAGCAAATGTTGTACATGCTGGTTACAGTGCATTTCTCTCTGAAATTCTGAGGAAAATGGGTCTTTCCAGACATTGTTCAGCAGAACAGCATACCTTGATTACAAAGTTGATTGGAGAGGGGAAAACATATAAAGAAGTGCAGAAAATGATAGGCTGCTCAGCTAAAATGATCGCAAATGCTTTAAAATGGCGACCAAAACCTGAAAGACGTGGAAGAAAGCGAAAAACTACCATTCGAATGGATAGAAGAATAGCCAAAATGGCAAGGACTCAGCCAACAATCAGCTCCAGGAAGATCAAAGAAGGTGTAAAGTTACCTGTGAGTACTGTTACAATTAGACGCCTATGTGAAGCCAAGCTATCTGCAAGAAGCCCCCGCAAAGTCCCACTGTTGAAAAAAAGACGTGCTGAAGAGGTTACAATTTGCCAAAGAGCACATTGACTGGCCTAAAGAGAAATGGCGCAACATTTTGTGGACTGATGAAAGTAAGATTGTTCTTTTTGGGTCTAGTGGCCGGAGACAGTTTGTTAGACGACCCCAAACACTGAATTCAAGCCACAGTACACTGTGAAGACAGTGAAGCATGATTGCGCAAGCATCATGATATGGGGATGTTTCTCATACTACGGTGTTGGGCCTATTTATCGCATACCAGGGATCATGGATCAGTTTGAATACATCAGAATACTTGAAGAGGTCATGCTGCCTTATGCTGAAGAGCAAATGCCCTTGAAATGGGTGTTCCAACAAGACAACGACCCCAAACACACCAGTAAACGTGCAACATCTTGGTTCCAGACCAACAAGATTGACGTTATGGAGTGGCCAGCCCAATCCCTGGATCTTAATCCAATAGAAAACTTGTGGGGTGACATCAAAAATGCAGTTTCTGAGGCAAAACCAAGAAATAGAGAAGAACTGTGGAATGTAGTCCATTCATCCTGGGCTGGAATACCTGTTCACAGGTGCCAGACGTTGGTTGACTCCATACAACACAGATGTACAGCAGTTCTCAGAAACAGTGCTTATACAACCAAATATTCATTAAGTGATTCAAAGGAAAGCAAAATCTTCAAACATTTTTCAGTTTATATAGTGAATGTTTGAGTTTGTAAAGAAGAATACAAACACTGCTATTTTCTTCATAGCAGTGTCCAGAAGTCTAATATTCACTTTTCTTCATTTTTTTAGAGGAAAAACAAACACAAATTTGATATATTTTTCTTCATGTTTTGATTTGGAATAGAATGTGTAGTGTTCCCAATGCATTTGTGTGTATGGAAATAAAAGCTATTAGAAGGATTTTGAGCTTTATTCACTTTTTTCAACACACTGCTATTATATATATATATATATATATATATATATATATATATATATACATACACACAGTATACTATATAGTATATATGAAATTAGACTCTCACAAGTGGGAAAGCTAGGACTTCAGGTGCAAAGATGTCCCCACCAGAGTCTTTGACTCTGACTGAGAAATATAAGAATTTGGAGCAATGGGTGTACATATCCCAAAACAAAACATAATTTTGTCTTGAAGAAGACTCTACTTAAAAGGACATACGTTTGACCTGCCAATAAGCAGCAAACTGGAATGCAGAGAAGGGGATGTGATAGGTGGAGCAAATGGTACACATACAGTATGTAGGCAAGTCCTAATCTAATAGTTATTGATAAGAGAGTTGTGCCATACCAATCCATGGGGTGATGAAGTAATAGGCAAAGTTGTCTTTCGGATCTGTTAGAAAAGAAACATGATAGTTCTGTGTACAGGTCATACAGAGCATTAAAGGTTTCAGACACTTTATTGAGGTACAAGATAGGAGAACCTAAAATAGAGAACACTTAAACTGAAGTTGTATAATTTTATGCCTTTACAGTCCTATTAAAGAAATAGTTTATTTTTTTATGTACATAATCTTTCTCTTTCTTAATACATTTGTAGAAAGTATTCAGTAACAATGTGAAACAAACATTATTGTCATATCAAACTTATCTAAATTTTTATTTGAGGAGACACTGCGGAGAAACTGTCTCACTCTTCCATTTACTCTGGACATGCAAGTCCCTCAAGTCTTATTGGAATAAAGTTTTCCAAATAATCTCCTCAATTATAGATACACCAGTAACCCCAAATCCTGCCTAGCCCTCCTTCATATAGCAATAGATAAATTCCCCAGAAGCTCACGCATTATTATCATACACATCCTGGCAGCAGCAAAGATCAACATCACTAAATTATGGCGATCCACTTCCTCTCCCTTACTGTCCCGTATCGTTGCTGATCTCAACCTACAATGTGAGATGGAACGCAGAACGGCCCTTCGAAACTCCACCTACCACAAATTCACACTACATTGGTCTCAATGGTTAAAACACCCCAATTGCTCAATTACCTGATTACTAGTCCCAATTCTTATAAGATGCTATATTCCTAATGCATTGGTGCCCTCCTCCCTTCCTCTCCCACTCTTCCTACCCCTTACCTCCAACCCCTACCTAACCCCTTGAGTTTCATGTTCTTCAACAAGGTTCACAAATCAACGAGCATACCTCTCATGTAAACATGATTACGATAAATGGTTCCCCAGCCAAATGGTGGGGATCTGTCACTTCCTCTTCCCCCTTATATGTTGTAAACTTTCTTATGTGAACCTTCCATCCGATTGTTTGTATATACTGTTCAGATGTTAAAACTTTTTCAATAAAAAAACTATTTGAAATAAATTTTTATTTGACTTCCTGACTCAGTTTTTGAATAATAAAATGT